GTTTCAATCTCTGCCAGGCACCGCCCCACCCCGGCTTATCCCAGTCCCTGCCCTGTGACGCCCTCTCCACCCCTCAGGTGACCCTGGTCCTCTTTGGGCTGCACAGGAAGCAGGCAGAACGGGGTCCCCGCTCCTTCACCGCCCTGGCCGAGTGCTGCGCACCCTTCGAGCCGGGCCAGCGCTACCAGGAGTTCGTGCGGACGCTACAACCTGAGGCTCCACCGCCCCCGCCGCCTGCCTTCTCCTTCCAGGAGTTTGCGCCCAACGGGCACAGGTGCATCCCGGGTTCCCCGAGAGGAGTGAGCCCCACAGTCGGGTGGCAGGCTGTTGGCACCGTGGGCCTGAGTGCTCGAGGTTGGAGAACCCAGAGCCTCAGTGGAATTCAGGCCTCATTGCCCTTGGGGGTTATTTCCGGCGGGAGGAGTCCCCGTCCTGGGAAGGTCAGGACTTGGCACCACCGTGCTCCCGGGCCGAGACCTGCAGACCCAAGTCTGTGGACTTGCAGGTGGACTTGGGTGTTGTGGCCAGTTTCCTGGGATGGAACCCTCAAAGCCCTCTCTCCCTCAGTTTCCCTCTGGACACCAGAAAGAAGCTCTCCGGGCCGCCACCTCCTCGGCTGGACGAGAGCACCACTGAGCCGGGGCCTTGGGAGGACGCGGGCACGGGCTGGCCAGGTGGGTGCTGACGCGGGCACGGGCTGGCCAGGTGGGTGCAGGCCATGGGGGGGGCGGCACAGGGCAGGGCCGTCCTTCCTGACCCATCCCCCCACCAGGGACTCTGGGCCCCACTCCGGGCAGCGATGTGGACAGTGTGGGCGGTGGCAGCGAGCCTCGGTCCGTGGACTCCCCCACTTCCAGCCCAGGTGAGGCGGGCCTGAGCCACCCACCCTCGGCCCTGGCCAGCTCTGACCTCGGTCTCTGGCTCACCCTCTGGCCACCCTGTGCCCTGACCTATTCCCACCACCCCTGACCTCTCCGGTCCCTCCCGGCCCCGGACCCTTCCCCCAAGAGGATCACGGAACCTCCCCGTGAGCCCCGAGACACCCTGCACCCTATGTGACCCTCCGACCCCAGGTTCCAGCACACGGAGGCTGGTGAAGGTGGCATCCACGGGCACCGAGTCTTCAGATGACTTCGAGGATCGAGACCCAGGTGAGGCTGGCAGCAAGAGGGCAGGGAGGGAGGTGGACCAGGCACCCCTGACCCTGGGTCCCTGCAGACCTAGGAGACGGGCTAGAGAATGGTCTAGGCATCCCCTCCCAGAAGTGGACACTGTCCATCGCGGCTCAGACCCACCGCCTGCGCCGGCTGCGGGGCCCAGCCAAGTGCCGCCAGTGCGAAGCCTTCATGGTCAGCGGGACCGAGTGTGAGGAGGTGTGGCCCGGGCTGAGGACCCCGTGACCCATCCCATCCCTGAGATCCCGGGACCCCCCTGATGGGATGACCTTCTGTGCGTGCTCTGTCCCCCATGACGGTGCCTTCCCTGTGACCTCCCGCCAGTGCTTTCTGACTTGCCACAAGCGCTGCCTGGAGACACTGCTGATCCTTTGCGGACATCGGCGGCTCCCGGCCCGGACGCCGCTCTTTGGGGTCGACTTCCTGCAGCTGCCCAGGGACTTCCCCGAGGAGGTCCCTTTCGTGGTGATAAGGTGCACGGCTGAGATAGAGCTCCGCGCCCTGGGTGTGCAGGTGCCTGCCGTCCTGAGCCCTGAGCGCCCCCTGCCGTGAGCCTTCCCTGTGAATGGCGGGTCACAGGCCCCGTGGCCCTTCCCTCACCCGCAGGGCATCTACCGAGTCAGCGGGTCCCGAGTCCGCGTGGAGCGTCTGTGCCAAGCCTTTGAGAATGGCCGTGCCTTGGTGGAGCTGTCGGGAAACTCGCCCCATGATGTCACGGGCGTCCTCAAGCGGTTTCTGCAGGAGGTGGGCGCCTGGGGGTAGGACTGGGCGGGCGGGGGCTTGGGCCGAAGACATCTGCCCACACTCGTGTCCCCTGCCCGTTCCACCCCCAGCTCACTGACCCCGTGGTCCCCTTCCACTTCTACGACGCCTTCATCTCTCTGGCTAAGACCCTGCATGCAGACCCTGGGGACGGCCCAGGGACCCCCAGTCCCAGTCCTGAGTTTATCCGCTCGCTGAAGACCCTCTTGGGACAGCTGTCTGACTCTAACTACAACACCCTGCGGCACCTGGTGGCCCATCTGTTCAGGTGGGCACTGGTCCCTGAGCCGTCAAACAGAAACCCCTCCCTGGACCTGCGACCACTGACCTCGGAGCTCATGCTGACCTCTGACCTTTGACCTGCTTTCTGACTTGTAATTTTGGCTTCAGGCCCCAAACCCTAGTGCCCCAACCCTCTACTCTGGACATCGGTCTGCTGGTCTTAAATGATGACCGGAACCACTGACCCATGATGACAACAGCAAGTCATCTGGGCTGACCGGCAGGTCCTCCCCTGACCCTCGACCCGTGGCCTTGCACCCCACGCCCTGACCCTTCTCACACCATCCCCAGGGTGGCCATGCTGTTTGAAGAGAACAAGATGTCTGCCAACAACTTGGGAATCGTATTTGGACCGACGCTGCTGCGGCCACCAAACAGTCCGAGGGCCCCTGGTGCCAGCCCTGTCGCCTGCCTGCTGGACTCCGCGCACCAGGCCCAGCTTGTCGAGTTCCTCATCGAGCACTACGAGCAGATCTTCGGGATGGACGAGCTTCCCCTGGCCGCTGAGGCCCTGCCCCAGGACCCCAGCTCAGCCCCAGGGCCCCTCATAACCAGTCCCCTACCCACACTTCTTCCTACACCAGCCCCACAGTCCCTAGCCCTGAGCAAGGATGTGGGACCAGACCCCGAGTGCCCCAGGGCCCTGGAGAAGCCCTCCGAGGCCACTCCCCGTGAAGCCACGCCCTCTGAGGCCACGCCCCTTGAAGCCACGCCCTCCGAGGCCACTCCTTCCGAGGTATGAAGTGGGGGAAATCTCTGACTATGGGGAGGGCTTCATCTCTCTAATTCTTACTCAGCTTCCTTTCCCTTTACAAATCTCCTCCATTCTCTGCCCTTCCTCAGCAACCCGTGGCGGGGGGGGGGGGGGGGAATAACCCGGGGGGGGGGGGGGGGGCAGTAATAACGGAGCAAGAACCAGGAAAGTGGTACAGAGATCTAACACCGGCAATCATTCGTTCTTTACCAGGATATTTACTAAATTACTGTGCCTGCATCGGTGGGTGACAGGTTCAGAGGTCTTATCCTGTCGATGTCTGCATTCCAGTAGGGGGAAAGTGTTGGGAAAAAGACCAACCATAAACCATAAATATGAGCTAGGAACAGTGTGGTGTGCCTCTTATCCCAGCACCCAGCAGCCTGGGACAGGAAGATCACTTGAGTCCAGGAGTTCAAGACCAACCTGGGCAACACAGTGGTATCCTGTCTTGAAAGAAAGAAAGAAAGAAAGAAAAAAAAAAGAAAAGAAAAGAAAAGAAAAGAAAAGAAAAGAAAAGAAAGAAAGAAAGAAGGGAAGGTCTGGGGATTTAGCTCAGTGGTACTGTGCTTGCCTTGCAAGTGCAAGGTCCTGAGTTTGATCCCCGGTACCAAAAAACAAAAAGAGAAACAACATACAAATCAGTTATGTAGGATGTTACAAGGTGACAGTGATCAGCAGTGGAGGAGAGGAAGACTCCGGTAAGGGATGGGATACAGGTCCCTGGGGGGAGAGGAAGAGGGAAGTTGGTAGCACTCAGGGTGTAGTGCATCTGGATCCTACAGAATAGGTGGATCTTTGAGAAGACTGCCGGGGCATGAACGTGGAGCAAACCCTGTCCAGGGCACAGTCCTGCACAGGGGAAGCAGTAGGAAGACAGGCCACAGAAGCTGGACCAGAGCCTTCCTATGAGCTCCCTGGGCCTTTTTGAATTTTTTTTTTTTTTTTTAGACAGGATCTCACTAAATTGCCCAGGCTGAGCTGGAAGTTGTAATCCTCCTGCCTCAGCCTCCCCAATGCTGGGATTACAGGCATGCGCCACCACACCCAGTTGAACAGCGCACTTTTTTGTTTTGTTTTTTGTTTGGTACCGGGATTGGACTCAGGACCCTGTGCTTTCAAGGCAGGCGTGGCACCACTGAGCTAAATTGCCAGCCCCAAACGGTGCACTTTTAAGGACCTTGTTTGACCCCAGGTGTCAAACTGTAAGGAACTTTTGTGTGTCCCGGAAACAAATCTGTGGGTCTCCACGCGTCTCCAAGCACTGGGATTCTCTTGCTAGGTTCTCATCCTTGAGCTTTTCCCTGCAGACTGCAGCTATGCAGCGTGACCAAAGGGAAGAAGAGGCTGAGGACTCCAAAGACAGAGGAGGGGAAGGTGCGTTGTTGGGGGTATGGCTGGGGAGTTCTGGGGGTGCCTTGTCCTGGGGAGGCTGAGGGTACTCAGCACTGGTCACCCCACAGTGCCCTGCCAAGGCCCTGAAGACTTGCTCCTGGGGACGCAGTCCCGTGGTCACTTCAGCCGCCAGCCAGTGAAGTACCCCCGGGGCGGTGTGCGGCCTGTCACCCAGCAGCTCTCGGGCTTGGCCCTGGTGGCTTCCAAGCTGTGTGAGGAAGCTCCTGTCCCTGCGGCACCAGGAGGGAGTCTGCGGGCCACCCCCTCCCGTGAGGGGAGCCCGCTACGCCGCACCCCACTGCCCAGGCATTTCAAGATCACCCAGGAGACAGCCCGGCTCCTCTCCAAGCTGGACAGCAAGGCTGTCCCCAGGTCCCCCTGCTGCTCAGACCCCCAGCCTGAGGAAGCCGAGATCCATCTCTGACCACCCCAACATCCTAAGGATGGACCCAGGGCCCCCGCTTGGCAGCTTTCAAACATCAGGCAGTGGTTTGATGCTGAAGTACTGAGTTCCTGTAAGGAAAGACTGCACAGCCTGGGGAAGCCCTGAAAGACTTTTGGGGGCAATTTCGGTGTCCCAGGAACTTGCCACCAGAGGCGTGGTTTCCAGCAGCAGAGCCACTCAGGGTCAGAGGTCACTTGGGGTCCATACAGGTCACAAGACCTTTGGGGTCCACCCGAAGACTGACTCGGGGACAGGGATGCTTCTTGCTACGTCCGCAGTGAGCATTCCACCCCGGCCTGTCCCCTCAATGACCCCAAGTGTCCTATGCTCCGAGATGGGGCAACCCAGACCCCACCTCCTGGCGGAGCTCAGGTCTGGTGGCCTCTGAATAAAATGTCTTGCATACCCTGGTGTGTCTGTCTTGGCCAGGGGAGGGTGACAGGGCACTCGCCAGAGCAGCACCCCTGCCCACCTTTTCTCACTAGGGAGACCCAGGCCCCCTTCTTCAGGCCCAGGCACCCTAAAAGCCTGCAGACGGTCAGGGCAGGGCCTGGACACACAGCTGAGTCACCTGGCCTGGAGCTCCGTGTCCCCATCCGGGCCTGTGTAATCACAGATGTAGCCAGGCGCAGATAGCCGCACAATGGGGCTGTGTGCCGCGCCGTGGGAGCCGCTCGGCCGGGTGGAGGCCGGGGCGCCCAGATCTCGCTCGGGAGGCTTGCAGCTCGGCCGCCGATTG